TTTATGCCTTTCATTCTTATAGTCAGTCTAGCTCAGTTGATATATGCGCTGATTTTTAAACAGTGGAAACTTTCTTTTTTAAGTCGGGGGTTCGAATCCACCTGGTATCACACTTTTAAAGTTTTAAATTCCGCCTTTCCAAAGACTATTTTAATTTTTTATAGACTTGTGTATTTTCCTTCAACTATCTATCCTTTACGCATGCCCATTCTTGATATTAGAAACAATAAAGAGATATTAAATGGTAACAATCCAATGTACAGTTGTCTGTCAGGCGGAACGCACACTTTCTCCGAGGACAAGAATAACTCTCTTTGTGTTACTCGATACAGGTATTCTTGGCAGCATTTTCAATTGTATATATTCCTTAGAATTTAACCACATTGATTTTGGCTACATATTTCAGTAAATGCACTCCCTTGGATTTCATTTAGGGTTCCTCCTACCTCTACCTCCTACCTCTACTCACTGAAATAAAGATTTAGGAAAAACAAATTGTTATATGTATTCAGCCTAATGTCATTAATTGGAACGGAAATCGACAAGCTATTGTAGAGAAAAAAACCAAGCCCGGTCCTATAGGTCAGATCCCTATTTATAATGAAGTGATCCTTTTTAGATAGTACATTTTCCCTTAAAAATTGCATGAATCACTAGGCTTATGTTCCAATCTAATGATAAATATGATTGGTTAATGATACAATAGTATTTTTAATGATATAGGGTCACAAAGTAAGGTACTATCGGTCCGTATTAGCATTAGAGTAATGGGAAAACTCAAGAGGGTGGCTATGTTAGATAACTCCTACGCATGTCATAACCACCTTTAACCAACACCAAAATTTGCATGTAAATTCCTAATAAACGTAAAAAGTGACCACCAAATTATGAATTTGATTAAAGGTGGTTATGACATCTAAACAAAAATTTTTCGCTTCATTTTACGATATTTACAGAAAAAGCTAACTTCTCACAATGAAGGACATCAGCTTATGTAGATTATTTCTTTTTATGAACTTTTGGTTAGAATAGAATTTTCTGTTGATTTACTAAGATTTATATCAGCCATGCATATTTACTAAAAAAATGTGAAATTTTTACTTAAAATATCTAAATTTAAAGGACTGAGAAGACTGGATGTCATGAAACTACAAGTGGAGACGTTTCTTTGAAATGTCTGATAAAAATTAAGAAATAAAAACTTTTCATAGGTTTTTATGAGTTATCTTTTATATTTATAATGATAGTTGAGTTTATCTTGATATGATACTTCTTTGAATTCCGTTATGAGTATTGCATATATTCTTTGTATTTCCTTATGAGTACTGTATATGTTCTAGAAATGATAAAAGCCATCTTTGTTGAAGCGGTAAAATGTATTTCTTATTTGTCTTATAGACTTTTTAACTGTGGGTACACACATAATTTTTATATGGACACTTCCGTACGAGTAACATGTGATCCATATTTTGTTCAATGCATGTGTCTTAATTGAGAGGACTCAATCTATTCATCACACTTCTTTGATAGCATCGATAATAGTTATATAGTATAACAGTAGTCCTGTCTACGAATATAAACTGGTAAGGAGGAAAGGGATTAAGTAATACGTGATTTATAATTGAATGTTGCTTTACTCCACTTGAGGATTTTTAAAAGATAATATTCTAAAGACTCATGACATTTACTTTAAATGCTATGATGATTTAGGTAGGGAACTGTCACTATCCGTGTTAAACAAGATTTTGACGCTGCACTGGGAAAGAAACTGCATTTAACCTACAGGCTTCAAGAGTGTGAAAGGAGCATCAAACCCTTAGGGTCCATTTTGTACCTGGGATGTTGTAGAACTCTTAAGTCCGTATACTAGTATATACGAAAACTTCTGATATGCATTGATGAAGGAACTGTTAAAATTCTACTCCATTTTTATGTTGTGCCATTAGAAACGGGGGATGGGGGGGTCTCAACTTTTATACATGTAAATACATAAAGTTTAGATGGCATTTTTGATTAAAGATATCGTGCAACACGAGTAATTGAACAAAAGCAAAGCCAATTTACGACGATATTTCATTTCAGGAGATGTATGTATATGGATAGTCAACATGTACTTGCATTGACATTTTATGTTATTACCTAACCTACTATATAAATTATAATTAGGTATTTTAAACTGTTTCACGGTTTACTTTATGTTTTTGCGTGATCATGAAACAGTGAACTGTTGACCGGGCCACAGAATGAACTGTTGACTGTTTAAAGCGTCATCGTGATATTCAAGCGTTTTGATGATCACGACATCACTATTTACCTGCTCTATAGTTAATCAAATTTAAATAAAACACACAAACAATCAATTTATTAAGTATTACTATAAATTAAAAATATTAATTTAATCTTTAAATTACGTGTTCGGCTAATTAATAGACAAGTATGTGAATAATCAGTTGTGAAAACTTTTTATTGATTGTTTGTGTGTTTTTATTCCAATTTAATTAATTATATAGTAGGTTAGGTAATAAAACACTTATTCAATGACTACTCGGTGAAACAGTCAAAGTGTTGTCCCTCGGTAGTGGGGGAGACCTGGGAAACTGTTGCCCTCGGCCGAACTCGTAGTCATTAAATAAATGTATACTGTTAATTCTTTATTTTTTGCAATTGTTGAATTTCTTTTCTTAATTACTGCTTCAGTTTTATTTTATCACAATCAAAATCCACTCAGTGCTTTCAACATTTGATACATAACTTTTATAGTTCAATAGAAACTTAGAAACCTGATTTCTAAAATGGCTATTTTATGCGTAAAACAAGTAACACATCTATAGAAATGATATACAACTACAATATAATTATATATGATATAATACTTTTGATAAAATGCTAATCAAACTTTTTTCAGCATCATACAGTGTGAATTTCGTAAAAATTTACGTTCAAAATATGCAAAATGTGGATGCATCGGAATTCTTGTCATAAAAAATATCTTGAACCTTAAATTTATAAAATCTTTCAATTTATTACTTATGTCTGATGTATTTCCGACATAAATAAACAATTTTTGATCATTTACATTCAGAAACATACAAAGAAACTTGATTTGAATAGAACCACCCTCAATTTTTCTTTAACTGACGGCCATTTATTTTTTTAATTTTTAAATCACGTGACTTAGATTGATTGATTGATTGTATATTGTTTAACGTCCCTCTCGAGAATTTTTCATTCATATGGAGACGCCACCACTTTCCGGTGGAGAGCTGCAAATTTTGTCCTATACTCGGCACTCAGGGCCATTGAGCAGGGAGGGATCTATTTCGTGCCAGCACCTACTGCGACACGGGACCTCCGTTTATACGGTCTCATCCGAAGGACCGGTCTCTACGTCCCACAGTGGGATTCGAACCCGCGACGTAAGGATTGACTCCTTACTTCGCGACTCTAGAGAAGACGCTCTAACCACTGCGCCACGCGGGCGACACGTGACTTAGATGATCGATGTTGAAAAACAAACATCAAAATCATAAACTAGAATGATTATAGATATATAAAAATCACATTTTAAAGTGATTTTATCGTAGGCCGGAAAATAGCCTTATAGAGAATCAACCTTACTGCAATCAGACTTAAACTGTAGGAGTCATCTCTGACAAGTAGAGCTAAAGACTCCATTGGTCTCTTTCATATATGTTTAATTAATTCAGGTAAAGGCCTTAACCATGGAGTATTGTATACAGTATACTCTTTTACTGTGAAAATAAACATCATAATGGTGTTTCTTGGTGTTAAGGTCCAAACACAACTGAAAAATACCGTCAATTTGCCAGCATAATTTAAAATGATTTTCCTTTGGAAAAATACATATACACATGTACACACGATAAATTAAAAGCAATATGAGCTGCGACTTTGATGTCGGAATTTTTTGTTGCAATATTGTAAATAACTATTTCAATGACAGAAAAAATAGCGTTGATAAACTTCTTTTGTTCATATTTGCGATGGAAGAACTATTTATAAGCTTCGGTTGAATCAAAATTAAATTATTGTCGTCCTGTACAATAAATGATTTTTTTTATATAAAACTGTATATTGGATTTATGTAAAAGTCTTTTTTCTACTTTTTTATTCTAATTGATCATGAATGTTTTAAGTTGCATATAAATTTATAATAATCATAATGGCACATATTTAAAACAAAAAAAAAAAAAAAAAAAAAAAAAATCAAAAATGCAGCTCATATTTCTTTAAAGCCTTACACCTAGCTCTTTAAACTAATTTCACTGATTACATGTGTAAGTACATGTATATTAATTGTTATATCATAACGTTTTTGCATTTTAAAAGAGAAATATTGAATGTTATTGCATGAGAAAATGAAGGTAAAATTCAGAAAATCTTTTTACAGAAATCATTGTTCCTATATATGTGTAAATATTTAGGTATTTTAATTCCCTTCTAGACCAGAGGAAGTATGAACATCTGACAGGTAGATAACACAGATGTGTCATATGATCAGAGTGCATAGAGATAGACTGCACTTGGAGATCGATCTACAGGACAGCCGCCATTACTAAAGTCAGGTAAAAAAAAAATATAAAGTAAATTTGTAAACATTTAAAAAATAATAAGTGAATCAATCTGTAGGGTTTAACCTTGCATGAATAATTGTACCATTGTTGACATATACTGGTAAAGTATGTGCTTTAGACTAAGAATGAATATCAAGATCAGTAGGATGGTCGACATTACAAAGAATACAATATCATAGTCTCTACAATTCATTTAAAAAGTAAATACTGTCTTGATTATCAATATTATCCAGAATGTCAACAGATCTTGTAGTTTACCTGTATTTCTCATTTTTTCGGACATGATTCAATAGGAATTATGACGTGATAGTATTTTTTTCCTTGTCTTTAATTTTTTTTTAATATAAATTTGTAATTATATAAATTTTCATGAGGAGGAATTTTATACTTCAGAAAAAATTAGAGATGGACCCCCATACCAGTGCCCAGGACGTGATGCGATGTGACCTGTGTGAGACCGCTGCGGTACAGATGCACTGTGATACATGTCTTGTCAACCTGTGTACAACATGTGTAGGAGAACACTTCTCTGCTGATTTCTCAAAACCTCATAAAATTGTCGACTTCAAAGATAGAAAATCATTTCCACTTTACCCTTCATGTAAAACTCATACCATAGAACGATGTGAAATGTTCTGTAAATAATGTGACATTCCTGTCTGCATCAGCTGCATTGCATCTAATCAACATTTAGGTCATGAATTGTCTAAAATGTTGGAAGTTCTCAATGGCAAAAAGGAAATAATTAAAAAAGAACAAAATGAATTAAATGAGACAATTTATCCAACCTACCAGGACATTGCCTCTGATGTACAAAACAGAATGAGTCAGTTAGAAAAGGAATATGGAGATCTCTCGACAGCCATAACAAAACATGGAGAGGACTGGCACAGAGAAATTGACAAACTTGTCCAGAAACTTAAAGCTGAAGTTGATAAGATGAAAAACACACAGTTACAAACTCTACAGAAACATCTGAATGAAATAAACAAGACAAAGTCAGACATCAAAAATGAAATTAATTCAATGGAAATTGCTGTAGGTGCCAATGAATTGTCAAAACTATCTAGTGTCACTTCAAATGTACATGTCTACAGAAATCTTCCAAACAAAATTATACCATCTTTACCCAACTTCAGTCCAGGAAAATCAAAAGAGAAACTTTGCAGTCAATTTGGAGCCTTATCATCAAGTTCGTTAACTTCAGACAAACATGGCTACAGCATGAAGACAACACAGAAATCACCAGAAGCTGGATCCTCTCCTCCAGTCAAACAGCTGCTTGATGAACCAGAGACTGTTTCCACCATAAAGTCTGGGTATAAAGTACTTTTCCATGTGGCCTGTCTGAGTGATGAAGAAATCTGGACAAGTGGATGTAAGAAAACCATAAAACTCTACAGCAGCAATCAGAAATCACTACTCAAGTTAATCACAACCAAGTCTAGGTATGCTCCTTGGGACATTGCGGTGAAAAAAAGTGGAGATCTAGTTTATGCTGATTATCATATTGGAACTGTGAATATTGTAAAGAGTAAGCAGATAGAAGAGGTGATCAGACTACAGGACTGGAGACCTAAAGGAGTCTGTAATACCTCCTCGGATGACCTCCTGGTTATCATGGACAGTAATAAGAAACAAACAAAAGTTGTCCGTTACTCTGGCTCCAAAGAGAAACAAACCATTCAGTTTGATGATAAAGGTAAACCTCTCTTTTCCTTCAGTTTTATGTTTCATGGATATATAACTGAGAACAAGAACCTGGATATCTGTGTGTCTGACTATGGAACTAGAGCAGTAGTTGTGGTCAATCAGGCCGAGAAACTGAGATTCAGGTACACTGGACACACTCCTGCTCCAAATAGCAAACCATTCAGTCCACGAGGAATCACCACAGACAGTCAGAGTCACATCCTTACAGCTGATTATGACAATTACTGTGTCCACATCATAGACCAGGATGGACAGTTTCTCCGTTACATAGACTTTGGACTGAGTGTACCATGGGGACTGTGTACAGATACAAATGACAATCTGTTTGTAGCTCTACAGAGAGACAAACAAGTAAAAAAAATCAAATACTTACAAAATACATAACTGTGAATGTGTTATATTCTATATTATATATGAGGTATGCATTATTACTGTTGTAACACTTTTAGACTGTGAGATCTTGTAATATCTTTTTAACTTTTGTCTTTCACGAGTTTCATTATTACTGTAATGTAGGTCGGAGGAAGTGAATTATTAACACTTTGTAAACATAAAAGCATAGAAAAATTCAACATGCATGGAAACAATGTACAACTTAAAACCGATATTAGACATAAAAACAGTTTCTTCTTGCTCATTTAAGAGAAAAGCCAACTTTTGTCAAAAACATTTTCATTAAAATGCAGTAATGTGACCTCTGACGTGACCTTATATGGGATATTGTTACATGTTATTGTAGCGAGTATGCCAACGGATCTTACATCTAGTTTTAATTAAATTGATTTTACCCCTGAGAGCCTTGATTTAAAAAAAATCTGCACTTTGTCTGGAAGCATTCATAAAATATTTACTCTTCTGGTCACATGGCTCCGGCAAAAATTCTCCTTTAACCATTGCTTGGTAACTCATAAGGAAAATGTAGGTCAGATTCAGCGTCCAAAGCAAGTCTGGTAGTGCCCATCCCTAGATGCATTATCCATGCATGCAAGTATGGTCCAGGTAGGGCTTTTTGTTACTTAATTAGGAATAGACCTGCTCCAAAAACTTTAACATGGTCCCTCATCTAGAAAATAAAGGTCAGATCCCGCTTCCGAAGCAAGTCCAGTAGTGTCCATCCATTTATGCATCATCCATGCAAGTTTGGTCCAGAAGGGACTTGCTCTTAAAACTTTTACATGGACGCTGACACTACCGCTGAGGCCGACGTGGGGATATAGAATAATGCTTAATGGTCCCTATGACAGATACTCTCAAGATATAGTATATACAGCAGATGAGCTTTGATCACAATGAAGCTCACAAAAGATTTTTACTGATGTGATCTTAATATACTATACAAGTATACATTTCCAAAAAGGGGACTCTAACATATTCATATAGAAACTTTGATATATCACTCAGTATTAAAAAGACACAAACAAAGGCCAAAAAAATTAATTAATAGTTTCTCAGGCCAAAAAATTCAAAATTTAATGCGTCAGGCAGGCTTTTTTTTTCTTTTTGAAGCAGGTTTTACACCTTTTTTAAGCCATTTGTATAATAAAATGATAATATCTACTAATTCCTAAATTTTGTTCACTGTTATAATATGTATTCAACTTTCAATAATGTTATTCCAAACATTTATTTAAAAGTTAAATCATAAAATCCTGTAAATTTAGAAGAAATATATTGTATTGTTTTCTAATAAAAACGTCTATCTTAGCATTTACGAAAAGGGGAATAACTCAATTTACTTTTTCAACTTGGAAAAATAAAAAATTGAGTTATTTCCCTTTTCTATATGTTAATAAAATTTATCAATGAGGCCGTTTTTGAACTGATGCGGCGGTGCCTGAGAAACTATTGATTATTTTTTTGGAGCCAAAAAGTATACAGTTTTTAAAAACAATTTATTCCAAACAAGACGTACAGACATAAATAAAATGCAAATCAACAATTCCATATTTATTTCATTTTGGTGAGTGTCCTTTGTTTTTCAGCATGCTCCACTATTTTCTCGTCTACTTTGAGTCCCTTCCGTTTCCGGACCTGGTTCATATAATGTCTGGCACTGTTGTCAGAGTCCGCCTTTTCTCCAAAATGAGCGTATTCCTCCTCTGTAGTGGGCACCCAGAAAGGGTGAACATCCAACACCTGTCAAAATATATCAAATAACAAAAATAGATTTCTGAAGGACTGAGTTCATTAAAATTATTAACATTTATTCAAAATTCCTCAATAGATTTCTTCAAATTCTAGAAATATCGTATAAGCAGAATTTTTAATGAGAATGTAATTTTGGCTTTGTTAGCAAGGATGCCAAGATCACTCAAATTGAAAATCACTAAAAATTAGTTGCGCTTGATCTGTAATTATAATAATAGCTTCCTAAGTTAGCTTTATATAATCGCTAAAATTACATCTCGCTCAAAATAATATAAGAATTTTTAAGAACACATTGCTAAATTTGCGTCTCGCTATAATTTCCATTTATACGGTACTTAATTCATTTCTTAAATACATAGTCATTACATCCCTAGCCACTGATATACTGACCTCCCAATGGCTGAACACTAGTTGAGGACTGGCTAAACCACTAGTCTTCTTCCTCACGTCCTCAGCAAATCCAAAACTCTCTACCACCGGCAGCACGGCTTTAATGTTAAAGTTCTGAGAGCCCTCCATCATCGTGTCCTCAATATCTCGACCAAACCGCTTCCCCAGGACACCACACAGTTTTCCTACAGCAAATAAATATAATCTTAACACAATAAAACCAAATCGCTTCCAAAGGACACCGATCACTATACATTCTTCTATAGCTACATAATGTGAATATGTTCACCCCATTCTATGGTTTTTCCTCACGACCACACCCCCATCCCACCCTTTTTAATATTTTGTAAATTTGACAATTTGTAAATACAATGTAATGCCCAAGTCAGATATTTAATTATTAGTTACAGAAGAATCAAATGAAATGATCTGACCCAAAGTCAGTTCAAACTGAAAACTCATTCAACATAACAGGGTCTGAAATGTGCATGCTTTATATTACCATTTAAAGAAATATCCAAAAGCATTGTATTGTATTTTTTAAATACGTTATGGCCAGATTATACTTCACCTACCAAAGACTTCTGCAGTAGCTTGTATGTTACATTTATACATGGCTACAATCAGTCTCTGAGGTCTGGTCTGGAACGCTTTACGACAGCTCTCCTTCACACAGTAGATCAGCTGACCTGACATGTGACTATGTCCCTCCTTCTGTCTTGGTTGAGACGGCTCAATCTCACCGTCAGTAGACTCAGACTCAGACTCGCTACCATCCTTGTCTCTGTCAGTTTCACTTTGATTTACTGCAGACACAGATTCAGTCTGACTTACTAAGGTAGGATTATCACAGGAATTAATTTGAATTACCTCCCTATTATGAACTTCCTCATCGAGAGAAATTGAGTGACTACTCTTAACATAATTCCATTCCTCAATACTGAAACAAACATCCCTCAAGGGCTCCTCACAAACGGGCCCAGCAAGGGTGGTGATTTGAAATCCGCTGATTAACATTTACTCCATAACAGACGAAGATAATTTCATGAAAATTCATCAACAATTTATAAAGAACTTATACAACACTTGTGCAAAATTTCTAATTCCTATGATAATTAGATAATTTTCGGTGAACTAATGAACATGCACATGTATATCGACCCAGAGCAGCATCGCTACGTCATTTAACGTCACGTCAGCCGCGGAGATGGTTTCGCATGTGAAACAATCGTGAAGCGTTTAATACTCTTCCTTCTTTGCTATTAAATATATCATTAAAAAAAATCAAACAGTCTCTTTTCTTGAAATATTCTTTAAAAATGTATGTTGTTGCTACCCTACGCAGGTACGATAAGGCTTCCCAGAGAATATTGTAGTGTACTCTCTGCATGAACTTCTCTGAACTACAAATGTATGACGTCATAATTGAAAATGACGTCACGTCACTGCAAACTTGAGCTATTATAATGGGGAGAGTGTCATAAACTTGACACCGTATTTCAATCTGCAGATAAAGTTTCAAAAAGCTATTGTAAAAAAAAAAACGTGCCTTTTTATAATTTTTTCAAAAGTCTAATATATCCGAATAATTTAGATAACTTTGCTTTATTACTCTTGTTTACATGTAAGAGTCAGCGTGTTCAAACTACGTACGAAAATATACGTTTGACATTTACCCTTTTTTATTCCCGTGGACAGAGGCAGAATTCATAATATGTGTATAAAAGAGCTTGGCGCAGGTTGTTAATGAGGGTTTATCTAATATCTTTTGTGGAAATATGTAAGAGGAGTTTCCCCTCTAACTGAATCCTGCTTGGGAAAAAATGTATGATGGCTTTGTTTCAAAACAGATGACGATATTCAGCGGAAAATACCCTCAGATTTGTAGGTAAGTTGAAGTTAATATGAAATAAATTGTTCCAAAGAAATAGTATAACTTTTCCCAAGCACATTTTGGTTTCACAAGGATGCAACGAGTTTATTTATGTGACAAAACGTTAATAATTATTGTGTTAATAACCTGCGCCAAAGCGATTTATGTGAAACATTTCAAAAAAGAAGAAATGACCGTCATGTGATTAACACGGTCATGTGACAGCGTAAAAAAATATGTTTATATATAGCCTAGAGGATTCTCTGTATGAATTTGGCGTACTGAAGTACATAACTTAAAAAAAAACTCAAAATCATCTTTGATATGCAGTGGTACGTTTTTTAAAATGCATTTTTTTTAAGCTTCGGGAAGCCTTAACAGTACTGCGTAGTGTAAAATTTTCATTTATGGGAAAGGATGACTTAGAATGATGCAGTACCGATTTATGCAACGCGTTTTATGGATATAAATTGTTTAATATTGTACGTAATAACTGATGGTCGTCCAGAGCTTTTAATTTTACTCTGGTTGAATTAATTGTGTGAAACAAAATGTATGCTAATGCAATAACAAACCCTAACGCATTATATTTTCTCGTTGTTATTGTTTTAGCAGGTCTTTCAGTCTGGAAAAGAGTTCTACATTGCACAATACAAAATTTAAAGTATGCTGGCTGCTCCACCCTTGAAGTCAAAACCCATTTTGTCGTTGTTAGCAGATTTCTCTACCGCACTTATTTTTTTTAATGATCTCCGTTTCTCTGATTAAAATTCTACCAAAGTTGCACAACATGAATTTGAAATAGAGCTGGAAAATTATACACATGAACTGAATTATATTCGCTCTTATTATTGGTCCATGAAGAGTTTGATCGTTGGTGTTGCATATTTTCAATATCTGATTTCAGGACTTCTCCTGGCACCCCTACTATTGACACATTTACAGAGAAAACATTTAATATTTGTAAAATATTTCTTGCTTTTATTAATTCTAAGTGTATGTCAAACATATATACAAATTTTCACCGAAAGACGTTCATAAGAAAGCAAAATATACACAATTTCTCAATAATTTTCGAACAGCCCTCTTACATGTATTAAGTAAAATTTGATTTCTAAAATGTTATGACAACCTAAAGCTTAGAGGCATTATTTGGAGAAAACGGTTGCTGGAAACTCATTATCAGAGAAGCTCCCTTTGTATGGCATTTTTTGGCCGAGGAAAGCTAAACAGAGGTCTTTAATGAGATTGTTTGTAATTCAAACATAAGAGGAAAAAACGAGCACAAGGACTTTCAACTATGTTCTAGCAATCAATAAAATGAAGGATCTGGAAATAACGAACAGTATTCAAAATCAAAATCCATAAAACAATACAAAATACGAGTAGAGCAAACACAGACCTCGAAAACATGAGATATGGGATCAGTTGCCATGGAGAATTATTGATTCTGGTCAAAATATTTAATATCAAGACTAATTGCAATTGGACTAAACTGGAAGGAGTGGTCTTTGACCAGTAAGCTGAAAACTGAAACTCCATTGGTCCCTTTTATTTCTGATTATTCTTCAAATCATGAAATTATGTTAATCTCCTCAAACATGGACTACTCCATCTACCCAGTCACTCAGAATATAAATATTATTATTATATGATTGAATAATTTCCATCTCTCTGATTGGCTGAGATCCAACTATGTTAGAAAAATATTACGTTGTACTGACCTGCACGTGATGTTCCAGGTCAATACAAGGATTTATTTCCTCTACATTGATCTAAAGATAGATTGGGAAATTCCAAATTGATACAAATTGTTTAAGAAAACTATTTAAATGACTATGATTTTTATTTTCATGTGAACAAAACATAAGCGAATAAATAAATTTTAGGTGAGGATGGTAAGAGGGGATGCAGGGACCCCCTTCCAACACTTTTACTACACTTTTTTTTTCTTTTTTACCTTTTGGCAGTCATTTTTCCCTGATAACACTCTTTCCTTTCAAAATCTATCCTATAAAAAAGACTGACATTATATATTTTTTCATGGCAACTAAAATTGATTTTTTTAAAAAAAATTCAAATTGATACGACTGGTAAGGTTCATTCACATTTTAATTCTGCATCTCTCTTGAATTTGGCTAGGACTTAATAAAAATAAGCTGTATCATTTTATCAGTGAATCATATAATAAAACAATTATCGCTGTTTTTTTCGGTCAATACAATGATTTAGCCATCTTCGAAGTACAATATTCACCTCGCCCTTCGGGCTCGTTGAATATTGTACTCCTCATTGTATTGACCTCAAAAACCAGCAATAATTGTATATTATGGTGTATAATTCTTGGCGTTTAGATTCAAACATACACACATGTACAAATACCGTCAATTTGTCGGCATAATTTTAAATTGATTGTACTTTTTAAATAGAACAGTAAAGGACAAGTGCACTTAAGCAATACTTAATGGGCCCTTTTTATGTGCCATTTTACATTAGAATATATTACAAAATCGTTCTCTATTGGCAATAGTTAGATACTAGTGTATATTTCTAATTAAAAAGTATGTTAAGCATCACTAAAATCAGCATGGATTTGAAACAATTGAATATTTATAAATGCTTATGGATACCCTAGCTAAATCCGGAAAAGTCGCACCGAACCTTCTTTTAGTTTCGTTTATGTAATCAAGGGGAATAGATATTTAAATCGATACTTGAACAATCTGAAGTGGATCATAGTGCGTAATGTGACTTCTTGCGCCAAACCCGTTTTTAAAAATATTGACTGAATTTGTGTAGTTGCCTGTAGCTTTAATGATTGAACAAAGAAATTGGTACTCTCGCATTTGAAAAAAATACAATAATAATGTCATTTAAGGGGAGACAGGACACATGTCACATGACTAAAAAGACATATTACGTCATAATCGGTGATAATATACATGTTAAACGTTGTTAAAATCAACATATCTTGTGTAATTTTATTCTAAATTCTAAAATTGTTTTTTAAACATTCTCTTTAGGTCTTTAAGATAATATTTTCATGATTAAGTACATGTACAATAACTCTTCTTATAAACCCTATATTTGTATTTTCAAATCAAATGTTGATTTTATGACATTTCTATAATTGTTTGTCATTGTGTGGGAATCTGTAGAGGTAAAATAAAAAAAATCATTTTGCAGAAAATATTGTTCTTATATGTACATGTATTTGTACATACATGTTTATCAGCATCAAAGTTTAAGTCTAGCACTTCAAATTTGATTTTTATATTCTAAGTACACTGGCACTTAATACTAGTAACCTTATATTAAAAAATCTCTATTACAAATAAATTTACTTTTTAGGTATTTAAATAACCTCTAGACCAGAAAGTATAATCACCTGACTGGTACATAATACAGGTATGTCACGTGATTAGACTACATAGACCGAACTTGAAAACTGATACACAGGAAAAGCAGCCATTGCTGAAGTCAGGTAAAATTTGATAAGAATATCTATATTTGTATAATTATACAAATTTTATCATTACAATTACAAGTATACATTATTATACATAACGTAACATTGGACTTAACTTGAACATTTTTGATTTTTTTTTAATAAGAAAATCATTCAGTAGGGATTGGCCATGGATATCAAATTCATTGCCCATATTGTTCACATATAAAGGGTCAAAATCTGTTCTTTAGACTGCAAACGAGTGTCAAGAAAAGTGGGGTAATCAATTTATTTATTTATCAAAATAAAACAGGCTCAACGTCAACATATCAAAGGTTGTTCACATCAGGAAATGAATATTAAATCTTCTCAAATCTTCTTTCAAAAAAGGTTCAGTAAACCAGATTCCCTTTGTCTTTAAATCAATTTCATGTAAATATTCACGAGAAAAATTGTAACTTTTTAAATTTATTCTTAAGAAAAAAAATTAAAGATGGACCCCAATACCAGTTGCCAGGATGTGATGCGATGTGACCTGTGTGAGACCGCTGTGGTACAGATGCACTGTGATACATGTCTTGTCAACCTGTGTACAGCTTGTGTAGGAATACACTTCTCTGCTGATCTCTCAAAACCTCACAAAATTGTTGAAATTAAAAATAAAAAATCCACACTCCTCTACCCTAGATGTAAATCTCATACCAAAGAACAATGTGAAATGTTCTGTAAACAATGTGATATTCCTGTCTGCATCAGCTGCCTTGCATCTAATCAACATTTAGGTCATGAGTTGTCTAAACTTTTGGAAATTTTCAATGGCAAAAAAGAATCGTTTATAAAAGATCAAAAGGAATTAAATGATACAATCTACCCAACCTACCAGTACATTGCCTCTGATGTACAAAACAAAATAACTCAATTAAAAAAGAAATATGGAGATCTCTCAGCAGCAATTAAAAAGCGTGAACAGAACTTGCACAGAGAAATTGACAAACTTGTCAAGAAACTAAAATCTGAAGTTGTTGAGATGAAAAACTTCCAGTTACAAACTCTACAGAAACATCTGGATGAAATAAACAAGACAAAGTCTAAAATCAAGGATGAAATTGATTCAGTGGAAATTGCTATAGACTGTAATGACTTGTCCAAACTCTTAAGTGCCACATCCAATGTCCAAATATATAGAAATCTTCCACAAAAAATTAAGGTATCTTTTCCTCAATTCACTTCAAGATATATCCAAGGAAAATATCTCAGAAAATATTTTGGAACCTTATCACTAAGTTATCTTACTTTCGATACACATGGCTACAGCATGAAGACTTCACAAAAATCACCAGAAGCTGGATCCTCTCCTCCAGTCAAACAGCTGCTTGATCAACCAAAGACTATCAAAACCATAGACACTGGGTATGAAAGTTACTATGTAACCTGTGTGAGTGATGAAGAGATCTTGACAAGTGGATATCCAAAAACCTTGAAACTCCACATCATCAATCAGGGATCACTACTCAAGTCATTCACAACAAAGTCAGGAAAGTGGCCACCTTGTATAGCAGTGACAAAAAGTGGAGATCTAGTTTATACTGATTATGATGACAGAACTGTGAACATTGTGAAGAATAAGACGATAGAGGTGATCAGACTACAAAACTGGAGACCTCGTTGTGTCTGTAGTACCTCCTCTGGTGATCTCCTGTTAACCATGCACAGTAATGATAACAAACAAACAAAAGTTGTCCGTTACTTTGGCTCCACGGAAAAACAAACCATACAGTTTGATAATGAAGGTAAACCTCTCTATTCACCCAATAGTAATGAAATATTAATAAGTGAGAACAAGAACCTGGATATCTGTGTGTCTGACAATATAGCTAAAGCGGTAGTGGTGGTCGATCAGGCCGGGAAACTGAGATTCAGGTACACTGGACACACTCCTGCTCCAAAGAATGAGCCATACAATCCACAAGGAATCGCCACAGACAGTCAGTGTCACATTCTCACTTCTGATTGGGACAACGGCTGTGTCCATATCATAGCCCAGGATGGACAGTTCCTCCGATATATAGAATGTGAACTTAGTTATCCCCGGGGATTGTGTACAGATACAAATGACAATCTGTTTGTTGCTCAATGGGTAAACAAACAAGTGAAGAAAATCAAATATCTACTGTGACATGCATTGTTGGTATATTCGGTATTAGAATTTTGACATTTTTATGTAGATGTATCAGTATACTGCACTTTCGAATCTTGCGATAATATTTTTATTCTGTTTTTCATATATGTACATGTACATCTGAAGGAAATAAAAATACACTATTCAATTAAAGAACATAATGCTACATGCATGAAAACAATGTAAATACAATGTATAATGATCATCTGAGAATTGCAATTACATGTATTTCAAAAAACTCTATAGCTAATCATAGAAAAGCCAACTTTTGTCCAAAACAAAATTGTTAACTTTTTCTACAGATTGTAAACCTTAATTAACCTTTAGTAATAATCAACGTTAATTAATGTTTATTTTTCACCCCTAAAATCTTAATCAGAATTTTGCTATAGTTGATAATTTAGATGGCTGAAGCCCTAACACAAGGAACATAAAATTGCAACTTTCTCATGTTTCAAGGAGACATATAATTTACTTATCAGAGGTATGACCCCTTCCACTAAAAGGTCTTTCGAATTATTAACATAGCCAATCGAAGGGAAGACTCCAACATTCGGATAACTTTTAACTAATCATTCAGAAGCAGATTTGTTTAGATTTGTTTAAATGTTCACATTTATGCAGCATAGTTTTATTTTATTTGTCAATTTTTAGCTTGTCTGAGTTGTTTAAATTTGACAGCGAAGAGATTCCTCTCTTTTATAACACCAACCATGTCTGGAAAAAAATTTCAAAATGGTCGCTTTTTCATTTTTGCAGCAATTAGTAAAATAAAAGAACGTCTTGCAAGAATCAAATGATTTCACAATGTATATAATGTTGGCCGTATGGACATGAATTTACTGTACAGCATGTACAGTCTGTGTTTGCAAATAATTATGCATTATAAGTGCAATCTAGCTATATATTTGAGATTAAGACTTCATGTATTGCAACTGTTTATTTTGTGATAACATGTATTTGTTCTTCGATATTTGTTAACGAGGTTCGCTCCTCTGCTTTTCAGCAGATTATTGCAAAAAATGCTTAAGTTACATAATGCTTCAATCTAATTAAAATTAGATGTTAGATCCGCTCGCATACTTGCTACACCAACATCCCATAAAGGGTCACGTCAGAGGTCAAAATCTATCAACCAATCAAATTGTCGCTGGCAAATTCATCAGATATTTTTTGACGTAATCAAAGCTAAAAAGTCTAGAGTTGTTCCGAATTTGACCTTTGACGTGACCCTCTATGGGATGTTGTTAGATGTTAGTGTAAGAAGTATGCGAGCGGATCTAACATCTAATTTAATTAGATTGATAATGCTTTAGTTCTCACAATTAATTTGGATTCTACAATGCTAATTTAACTACAATGAATTTAAACCCCATTATTAAATTCCATACCGAAAACATTTAGTGAGGAACTATATTTTGTGGCGGGAGGTTTTTAGAATATCAATTTGTCCTCATTTGAAGTAATTAGTATTGTTAAGGTGGTGTCCTTTTTTACATGCAGCCTGTACGCAAAGTAATTTTGTGCAATAAAAATATTCTTTGCTAATCCTAAACTATAAGTTAAAGTAACTCTATGAATTGTCATATTTGGCAAATATATTTCGTGAAAGTCCTTTAAAAAATAGTATAATTTAAGCTTTAAAATAGTAGTATTTAAGGATAAATAACACAAACAAACTTTTTTCAGACATCAGCATTATTTCTCATAGATTAACATTTGAATTACAACCTGAATAATGTTTACCAAGTAGAGTGGGAGAATTTTATAAGATTTTGTCATAAAGTTAAAAAATTGTGCAAAATTTTGTATGGAATTATATGGAAGGCAAAATAAAATATCAGATCTAAACATCAAGGAAAACCTACGATTTCTTTATATTTCAGGGATTTATTATTCATATCAATACAAATCAAAATCAGTCAAAAAATACATATCAACCCGCGCATCCATTTTTTGTTTGTGGTAAGTACCCTTAAGTAATATCTAAAACAACATCACTGACCCCCACTTTTTATTTCATTTTCTGAATAAATAAAATAATTTTTATCACTCTGCTTCAATTAAAAAATGTAATTACTTTCAAATGCTTTTATTGTTTGTTTGTTTTGTTATGTTTTTTAATCATGTTAAGATCAAAATAACATTTTTGAGTGTAGAAAGGTCAGAAAGGTCAAATACATGTAATTTACAATGCAAAGAAATGAAACTATTTTGTTGTCACAATTTTAAGGTGACTATTTAAAATGAAAAAGACTGTGATTGTTCAAAAAAATAATTTTGATAAAAAAAAGTAAAGGAAAAAAAAACTTTTCAAAATTGATTTATGTGCAAATAAATTAAATTATAATGCAAAAAGGTCATATAAATTTCTCTGTTGTGCGAAAAGAAGCACATTGAACCCCTCTCTCTTTTAAATTTTTTTATTAAGCTTGAAGCAATACTTTTGATGATAAGAATCAATCTCCATAAGACCGTTATACATGCCATAAAATAATATAATTTAAGTTTCCTCAACAATTTATTTTCAGTTCAGACAAATTGAAGTGTTATAAAAGCTAGCGAGTAGTAATGCATTTAATGTAAACACACCAAAAACAACTATATGCTAGTATATAATGTGTCATCTTTTTGAAAATTGAGAGGCATTTACTTAATCTATGGCAGTTTCTCGAACATTTGAAATATGAAAGTGGTAAGCAGAACACGAAAAACGTCGACGTTTGTTGACGTTGTGGCACACCAGACAACAGTTCAGATTGATTAAGATGTTGTTATGACTCCTTTAGAGACTTCAAATGAAAACAAAAGAAAGATATTTGAAAATATCACCAGATCTCTAGTGCGATTTTTTTTTCATCGAGTCCCCGGGTAGAATGAAACATACAGACAAACAGATATGGTAATTACTGAACAGCTAGATTTTTCTGATAAATTATAAATATCATTACTTAAGTACCGGTCACTGTAGCTTAAAAGTGGTAGAGCTTTCGCTTCGTGATCGGGAGGCCCGGGTTCGATTCTCGTTCGCAGCGCCGCGTCATACCTAATATGTAAACTTAGGTAGTTAATGTTCCTTCGCCAAGCTCTCGGCACTAGAAGTGAAAGTCAGGGTCTTTCGGATATGACCTTAAAAACGCAGCTCCCGTATCACGTGTAATAAGGAACCCTCACTGCTCAATGGCCCCTGGTACCGAGTATAGGTCTAAATTTGAAGCCCTTCACTGGCAATCAGTGACGTCTCCATCTGAGTGAAAAAATCTCGAGAGGAACGTTAAACAATGTACAATCAATCAATACTTACGAAAAGTAAAGTAAGTTCTGTTCAATTATATTTAAAGTTTAAGTATGTCTTTAAAATTTGCTAGGTAAAAGAAGTAAATTTCTTTATTTATAAGCTCTACATGTTTGGGTGGCGGAAAGGGTAAAAAAAAAGACTTTAATGCAAAACTAACAACCAAAAAACATACCGAAATACAAAATACACCACCTTAAAACAAAATCAACAGACACGTTTGCAAAATCAACAGATTTCAATGCAAAATCAACAATTAGTCACTAAATTAACGTTACATGTAGATGGCGTGCAAAAACAGACATAACCTGAATTAACGCTAGATGGAGCGCACGTTTTTCTACGCCATCATTATATGTACTTTCATAGGAACATAAATCCCGCGAAGTTGTCTATCATTTCGCAAACCTCGGATGATAGTATCATGTCGGACTCTCAAAATTCAAACTTATCAGAGGCAGCAAGACTTAAACAACAGTCGAAAATAATTATAGTCGCGAGTGTTTGCTGACAGTCCAGCAAATTTACAATATGCTACAAGTTATATATTATGAACAAGAAGGCATGCAGACAGTTAAACTTTCATGAGAAAATTCCGCAAAGGCCTCTGGCTCAGGTGAACGTCCAATTTCGCAGGTACGATAAGGCTTCCCAGAGATTATTGTAGTGTACTCGGTGCATGAACTACAAATGTATGACGTCATATTTGAAAATGACGTCAAGTTACTGCATGCTTGAGCTGTAATGATGGGGAGAGTGTCATAAACTTTACAACTTATTTCAATCTGCATATAAAGATGCAGAATGCTAGTTTAGAATAAACGTGTTTTTATCATTTTTTTTTCAAAAATCTAATATTTCCGAATAATTTAGATAATTTTGCGTTATTTCTCTTGTTTAAGAGTCAGCGTGTTCAAACTACGTACGGAAATATACGTTTGACATTTACCCTTTTTTATACCCGTGGACAGGGACAGAATTCATAATATGTGTATAAAAGAGCCTGGCGCAGGTTATTAATGAGGCTTTATTTAATATCTTTTGTGGAAATATGTAAGAGGAGTTTCCCCTCTAACTGAATCCTGCTTGGGAAAAATGAATGATGACTTTGTTTTAAAACAGATGACGATATTCAATGGAAAATACCCTCAGATTTGTCGGTAAGTGGAAGTTAATGTGAAATAAATTGTACCAAAAAAATAATATAACTTTTCCCAAGCACATTTTGGTTTCACAAGGATGCAACGAGTTTATTAATGTGACAAAAAGTTAATAATAATTGTGTTAATAACCTGCACCGGAGCGATTTATGTGAAACATTCCAAAAAAGAAGAAATGATCGTCACGTGATCAACAAGGTCATGTGATATCGTAACAAATATGTTTATATATAGCCTAGAGAACTCTCTATATGAATTAAGCGTGCTTAAATTCATAACTTAGAAATAAAACTCAAAATCAGCTTTGCAATGCAGTGTTGCGTATTAAATGCATTTTTAGCTCCGGGAAGCCTTAACTACGAAAGCCCAGAAGGCTCATTTGAGATTCGAGATTCGAAATACGAGATTCGAAATTCGAGATTCGAAGTTCGAGTTTCGAGATTCAAGATCCAAAATAACCAATCAAAAGGCGATTTGAGATTCAATTACTCCCCTTTATTATTTTTTATTATTATTTAAGAAATCGTTGAGTATTTTAATAC